TGCTTGTGCTTCGTGCTGCCTCTTTTCATTTCAGCTACCATAAATTTTAAATGCTCTATGTAAATCAATCTGCAGTGTGTCAGTTAGACTATAAGCCCATGTGTTTGGAAGTGATAAAGGCTTGAGCCTGACCCTTGGCTGGTCTCACTGCTCTGAGTCCCAAGGGTTACATTTATGGATACATGATTAAAAAATAAGCTCTGCACTGGGTCACTTAAACATTTTTGGAGTAAGTATTGTATTTTTTCCCCCCTTCTGCCTGGTCGCTAGGCCTCCTATCCTAGACATGTAATGCTTTATACTAATGTGTTTAAGTGAGAAAGTCCCGTTAACTCTTGGCTTGCAGACACCTCCAAATTAGTACTGTTCCTATCCTGAGGCAAAGTGAGAATTAATTTCTTACCCTGTCTCTCAGCTTCCATCCTGTTGTCTAAAAAAACATCAGACATCTGTCTGCCTTCCTGGCATCTTTTTGACAGCCATCTTTCCCCAGTTATGTCATGGCCATTGCCTCATGGCCCAATTACACTTATTATTTTATGTGTTTTAACATGCAATTGTAAACCTGTTTTAGTGGCTTGCATTGTGTTTTATAATGGAAATCAACCCTTGCTCTGCTCTGGGCCACTTACACCTAATATTATAGCTAGTGGGGGAAGGCAAATGCTGATGCTCATTGAAGCCCATGTGTCTTTCAGTAAAATGAAGGCCAAATATTATAAACATAATCTCCTGTGTAAATTTACTGATTTATTGATCAAGATGGCTGTCCACATCCCACCTAACCCCTCACTGTGATGTGTTCTGTAAGGAGCTAAATTGTAGAGTATTTTGTGAACGTCACTTCAACTAGGGGTACATCTTAGCAGGACCATCCCTAAAAGGAGGCATCAGACGGCATGTGTCTGGATCACATGGGGGGGGGGGGGGGGGGGGGCGGGAGGGCGGGTGGTGGGGGTGAGTAGAGGGTGAGATGGGGGTGAGTAGAGGGGGAGATGGGGGTGAGTAGAG